ATTTTGAAAGATAGTTTTGCAGGGTTCATCAGTCTGGGTTGGAGGCTGTTTTCCTTCAGGGCTTGAAATACGTTACTCCAAGCTCTTTTTGCCTTGAGGGTTTGTGTTGAGATGTCTGCTGTGATTCTGATGGGATTTCCTTTGTATGTGATTCATTTCTTTTCTCTTACTGCTTGTAGAATTTTGTTCTTCTGTTGGGTTTCTGGAATCTTAACAACTACATGCCTATGTGTAGATTTTTTTTTTGATCAAGGCTAGTTGGAGTGCTATATGCCTCACTTATGTGTACGTCAAATTCATTTCCCCTGCTTGGGAAATTTTCTACCATCACTTCTGTGAACAGTTTTTTTATGTCTATGCTTTCTCCTGTTTCTTCATTGACTCTGCTCAGCCTTATGTTATTCTTCTTTGATGGTCTAGCAGCTGCTGGATTGCTTTCTCGTGGTCCCTTTCAATTTTAAAGCAATTTTTCTTTTCCTGGTCACTAATTGCAATTTTATCTTCTGTACCTGAAATTCTGTTCTCACACTGGCTCATTCTGCTGTGTAAACTTCCAATGGAGATTTTAATCTCCTGGAAATCTGTTTGCATCTGTTTTATGGATTGCATTTGTTTCCTATGTTGGGATTCCATCATGTTCCTCATCTCTCTTTTTTAATCTGTATCTTCTCTAGATTTATTAATCATGTTTTGCACTATGGGCACAGTCTCTGCTGTTATCTGAGAAATTATTTCTGATTTTATTTTTTCCAGATCCTCTTCTTTTGTTGCCAGTTCAGGGAGTCCATGTGGTTGAGTATCAGATTGTTCCATCTCATTTCCCTTTAGGGTTGCCTGAGGTGATCCGGAAGTCTGTTTTGGAGACTTGTTTATGTGTCTTCTCATTTCAACAGATGTAGCCTGCTGTGCCTTTGTTGAGGCAACTTTTTGCTCACCCAGTGATCTTCAATTCTTTGCAAGCCACAGAGCTGCCTTTTCTCTGCTGCTCACCAGTACACTAATTCCTGGGTTCAGAAAGGTAGCCTTCTGGATCCCTGAGATGACCTGTTGTCTGGGTGGGCTTCTGACTGGGGCCTGTGCACACTTGGGATGATATCTAGGTGTGCCACTGGCTAGGGCCCCTATATAGCTGTTGTCTGGGAAGGTCTTTGGCTGGGGGCTATGCACCCCAGTTCCTGTTGTGTGAGCAAGCTTCTGGCTAGGATCTCGTGCACTTACTGATGGTATTGGGGTGAACCTCTGGCTGTTGCTTGTGTGCCTGTGCAACTCTTTTCCAGGCAGGCCCTTGGCTTGGGCCAGTGTGCCCCAGCCTCTGGGGTCAGGGGCGGAACCCTGGCTGGGATTTGCTTGGAGCCATGATACTCTGATCCACACCACTGCTCCCCCAACTAAGGTATTCTGGTGTGCCTTTATTGCAAAGATTTTCTTCACTGTTTTGGTGGGCTTTAATTTTCATCAAGGGGCCTCAGAGAGGCCCTCTTTCTGTTGTTCACTTCTACTCTATCTTCTCCAGCTCAGAACATTGTCCTTTATGACCCCTGCAACTCTACAGTGTGGATCCAGGTAATGGCTTGGCACAGCTGGGGTAGGGGTGGGGTGCTGGCACCCACGTGGCTCACCTCCTTGGTGCTCTGGGGCAGTGGTAAGGTGGCCTGAGAGGCTCCTTGGCAAAATTTCACCCAAGGCTTCTCTTCTGTTCATGCCCAGGAGCAGGTGATGGCTGGAACTTTTGTCCTTGTCATTCCTTCATCTGAAGTTCCCATAGGAGTGAGTCACAGTGGAACCAGCCAATACCAGGCAGAGTTTCTCTCTGTACTAGCTATTTTTCTGGTCAATTTTGAGCACCTTATTTTAACCATAATGTGAGGTCACAGTTTCTTCTTGAAAGTTCTTTGTATGCTTGATGTACATTGAAGGATTAGGTATCTATTTCATTTATTTTAATCTATCTTTGTGCTTGATTTTTCCCCATTAACATTTTAAAATTATTTTTTTATGATTGAGACTTGAGTGTTTATTTTTTTCTTTAAATACAAATTTGTCTAATGACATATCTTATCTGAGCATAAAATTAGCTGTATTTCTTAGAATTTTAAATGTGATAGTTTCATTCTCCCCCCAAGTTTATAATTATAGTATTTATTCTTCATTTGATCTAAGAATCATTTAAAAAATTTTTGAATATCATAAATGATTCATCTGATCTGTGACTTTTCCATTTATTTCTACTTTTATTACATAATAGTCTAACTGGTTATATCTACCTGAAATATTTCAATGCTGTAAGTGTAAAACTTAGTGCTTGCCTTATCTTTACCAAGATTGTACTATTTATAATTATAAAATGGCATTAAAAACCTTCAATGATTTTTTAAGTTTCTAATTTAGCTGATATTAATATCACTAATCCTGCTTAATTTTTATTTGTCTCTGCTTGGTATATCTCATCTTTATTTTTAAAAGTTATTTCTTTTTAGTTCAGGAATTACTGAAGCAAAATAAAAATTAGGTTTTTTTAATTTGAAAAAGTAAACTCCTTTACTTTTTTGTGTGTATTGACTGTTATTTAACATAGTCCCATCGCTGCATTTTGTTTTGTGCACGTATGTGTCTTGATGCTTTTATTTCTTTCATTTTCTTTGTTGTATTTTGCTTCATCACATTTTTTTGTCACTCTTTCTGCTGATATTTTAAATTTATTCATAGTAATTTTAGTCTATTACATTTTAAAAGTTATGCCTTTTCTTGCTACTGTAAATGGTTAACCTTTACATGTTATGGGGTATTCTTCCTATTCTTGTTATTCCTATTCTCCTATTCTCTGTTCCTATTCCTATTCTTCCTATTCTCTGTTATGGGGTATTCTATGAGGTATTCTTCCTATTCTTGAATGAGACAATTATCTAAGCACACAATCCCCTTCATCTTCCATAGTTTATTCAAATAATCTGAAATGTCATTGCAGGTACTGTAATTTTTACAATATGAATATTTTCATAAGAATCTATTCTTAATATTTACATCAAGCTTCATAAGCTTATTAACAAGGAATGAGAATTATTCAGAATAAACAGTGTTTTATTTGCCTTGTTTTTTTCCCCTGCCCCCTCTTCCAGATATGTTCCAGTTAGTTCTCATATTTTGGGGGAATGTGAGATCACTGCAGTATTCTCTACCTCAGGGAAGGTAGATATGTATTTTTGCTAAACCTTTACAGTATTTGAATAACTTAGACGTGAATGCCTTTATGTTGGCCATGCTCCCTGTTTCTCAACAATCCCCACTGATCTCTCCTACTACACAAATGCTTGCATTTACATTCTCTCCTAAACCTCTCTAGACTGCATATAGTTTCAGATATATGTGTTTAAAATATAATCCAGTACTCTTACATTGGGTGGCATTCTGCCTTACGCTTTTTTTCTCTTTGACTCAGGCTTTGGAAGACGGAGTATGGGAACTCTTGCAGGAAGCAGACAAGACCGCTGAAGAGAACAAGGATCAGAGTCAGGTTTATGATGCCATGGCCCAGACCCTGGGTGAAGCATGGACAGCGCTGGTCTCCATGCTTGAAAGAAGAAGCGAGCTCCTTACATTGACCTCTGAATTTTTTGAAAGTGCCTTGGAGGTTTGTGTCTTTTAAAATTTGCCCTTTCTTCATATCAAAGCAAATAAAGAGTATTCTAGAAAACGTTTTATTCCTGTGAGTAAATATTGCAATCAAGTTTTAAAAAGTGGTAGATAACTGTCAAAAAATAAAATTGTTAAAATTTTAAATGTAAGTCTTCAGAGACTAAAGATAGTTGGTTAAAATAAAGTAAAATTTAAGTAAAAGTGGGACTTCTTATTTCACAAATCATTTTGATTTATTTCCTTCCTTAGAAGATAGAAATAGAATTACTATTCAAACAGTTACTTTGATTATAGGGTCATTAGGAAATTCTGATCTAGAGTGTTCTCACTGGCTATAAGTTGGAGGATAATATTTCTTCTGCTGTTAATAAAATAGCAGCAGAAGAATAATGTTTGGGCTGTAAATGTAGCATTATATAGAGTGTTTTCTTAAGTTATATCTAGTTGATTTTCCATAGTTTGAGCTCATTAAAATACAAGGGAAAGAAAAAGTCCTGGGCATAAGAAGATAATTTTGCCTATAATTTTTCTTTGATCCTGTAATATTTTTGAAGCTTCAGGATTCAAAATGGGAGACTCAAAGAACATTATCAAAAGGAGTGTTATATTTGGTGTAAGGCAGTTATTGGAAATTTCACTTTTACCTTTTTACCCTGTCCAGTGGCAGCATATTTATTCTTTTTTTTTTTATTAAATTCTTTTATTGGTACATTGTAGGTATACAACACAATTACATTTCTCATTGGGAATTGTACCTTTATATAA